ATCCCCCTGCATCCCCTATATCCCCCCAGCATCCCCCAGCATCCCCCTGCATCCCACAGCAGGGGCTCCCCAAAACCACCCGCCCAAATGGATTTTTTCCATTTCCAAATTTGGAATGCCCAAATCTGCCCCAAATAAAGGTGCTCCTCCTGGGCCAGCCACAGTCCTGATTCCTGCCCCCCCTGCTTCCAGTCCCCCCCTCATACAAGAAAGCCTTTCAAATGCAGGAAAAATGTTTACCCCTTGGGGAAAGCTTCTTTCAGTCTGTGGCTGAATCCACTAAAAGCAAATCCATTTGCTTAAGTAATGAAATCCTAGTCACATTGTCTCCTGGATTCAGATTTTAAATTACCTTCGCATTTATTGAGCATGTTTGGTGCTTTTTTCTGGGAAAGAGGGTGGGGCCTCCCTTGGCTTACTTCTCTCTTGCCCAAAGCCTTTTGATTCCTGCTATTGGTCTCACATTTGTTTCAATTGCTCTGCTCGGATGGTCACACACAGTTAAAATGTAGGAGACCAGGGGTGAAGCATCCTCAGAGGAGGGTAACTGCAGGGAGCCAGCGATGCTCCGCCGTGACCCCTCCCTGCTGATCCGTGCTCCCACCTCCACATCCACCACCCAAATAGATGTTTGGTGCATTAAGTTCAACTCCACAGCAGCAAACTGCTGCTGCTCCCAAGTGCTCGGGGCTGGCTGCCTTCCCCTGCTCTTCCAGCAAATGGCACTAAGGTCTGCTCTGCATCCCACCGCACCTGCAGCCTCCCAAGAGGACCTTCAGGACCTCCGCGTGTTGGGAGTGCTCGATGGGTTCATCCAACCCCCGGGTCAGGACAGTGGCATCTCTGCCTCCTGTTGATGAGGAGATGAAAGACCAAAGTGACATCCTGCAAGGAGGACAGATACGAAACCATGACAGCCCAAAACTTCTTCCAACCGTGAACGCTGCCCATCTCCACTGGGGAAGGAAAGGAGTCTGCCCTGGCAAACACAGATTCACTCTGTATCTGTGAAAATGACTTTAAGGAAACAGAACTTCACCACTGAGGCACCTGAAGGATGCCTCATCCATGGTGATGGCACACCATGGGTGCAGAAGTATCTTCTCCTCTTTTCTTCCAGAAAGAGCTCCCTCAAAGCTGGAAGAGAGACCAGGGAGGTACTGGATGGGACCTCCTTGGACCCTCTCACAATCCCCTGCCTCGGAGAAACCTGGCATGGCAGGACTAGCCAAGGACAGTTTGGTAGCACAGACAAACCAACTTAAAATAGGTATCAATTATTAATGTTGCTTCAAATTTGCTCTGTAAACAAGCCAGGCGTGCCAGGAGGAACCCATGTCTCTCTAGAACCACCAAAATCACGCTGGTTCAGGGTATGTTGAAGCCAGAGAGAAGCACCAGAGTGCCCCAGTCTAGCAAATTACTGGCTAGATTTTATGTAAAACCTCCTATGAGATATGAGAGTTTGAACCCAGATGCTCCGCACAACTGATCCCTCCTGAGGTACACCTTCCACTGCACTGCAGCCTGACCCGACCATCCTGAAGGGATCCCACTCCCCAAATCCCATCACTCCAGCTCCTAGCGGCCTCTTCTCTGGTTCCAGCAGTTTTTATAGCTACTGGTCACAACGCAGGCAAACAGTGGTCTAATCCTTCAGTTTTCCTAGAGAAAAAAGGCCCTGAAATGTGCTCACAGGGAAATGGTGAAAAACTGTGTATGGTCTAGAACGAGCACTGAGGAACATGAGCAAAGCCAATACCAGCAAGCTGAAAAGCCCAAACCACTTCACCAGAGTGTTGGCCAAGACTGCTGGATTTTTGTTTCCTCTTCCCCTCTCCATCCCTGCCTTTGTATGACCAGAATATACAAAAATAGCCAATCTAAAACCCCCAACGAATCAACCCACCCCCCAAAAAATCCAAGGAACAAAAGGCAGTCTTGAAGGCCAGTGAGAACCTGCTCACCTCCAGACGTCCCATCCTCTAAACCCAACAGCAATGAAGCATTCCTGTGACTAGACAGCGAATGCAATAATGCCTGAAAATGTCTGATTTAAAACCTCCTCTATTAAATATGAGTTATTTCTTTTTAATAGAGCATCAAGTGACTTTTGAATGGTTTGAAATGGCTTCAGTCCATCTGACACGGGGAGAGCTGTGCTGCAGGAAAGATGACCTTAACAATTACAGATGTAAACTGTATTTTACAGTCTCATCTCCCAAGCTGAGCTGTGCCCCGGGATACAGGAGCATCATTGCCACACAAAACCATCTCTTTTGGGCTGCCAATGTCCTACAGGTGACAGGTCATCCAATGGACCTCCTACCAAATGGGAAAACTCGGACAAAAC